TATTGTCCAATTGACAGAATGGCATATTGATCTAAAAAAAAACAAAAAAAAAAAACTAAGGTGTGTGCTTTAGACCACACGATAGTGAAACCAACAAGGCGAGATTAATAATATTAAATATAAATTATAAATAATAGCTCATTATAAATAGGGTTAAATGCTGAACATTTCCCTCGCTTACAGTATGCAGGCCCAACTTTTAATTTCTGAGATATTTTAATCCACATCTTTAATAAAACGCGTTATCGTTTGGTTTTCAACACTATTTTTCCCTTATCACCTCTCTAACCGGACATCGCTTTAAGATATAATTTTAAATAATAGTCCATTACAGAGAGGATGAAATGCTGAACTATTTCCTCACTTACAGTATGCAAATCCGATTTTTCGTTTTTGAGATGGTTTAATACATATGAAAAAAACACTTCAATTAGTCGACTCCAGCCGACTTTATTCGAGCGTTACACATCGGATATCTGACGATTCAATCTAATTCACTCTCCACATAAAATGTGCGCCTAAAGAAGTTATCACTTCAAAAATCTATAAAATAATTTAACGAAAATTTCCATTGAATACAGTTCTCTGTCAAGAATAGAAAATCAATCGAAAATTAAATTTGCAGGCTTATCGAAACTGTTAAAAATAAAAATTAACTATTTGCCTTTGTTTTAGCTAGTTGGAATTACAGCTTTTTTTATTAACTTTTTTGAAGTAAAAAATACTTTAGGCGCGTTTTGTACTTTTTTGTGGAGAGCGAATTAGATTGATCCGTCAGATTTCCGAAGTGTTAACGTTCCGGTAAAGTCGCCTTTAGTCGACTAATTGAAATGTTTTTACATATGGTTTAAAATATCTCAGAAGCTGAAAATTGAGCCTGCTTACTTTAAGCGAGGATATTGTTCAGCATTTCATCCTCTCTGAAACAGGCTATAATTCAAAATTGTATCTTAACGCGACGCCGTGTCAGGGAGGCGAATAGGAAATAATAGTATCGAAAACCAATTGATAACGAGGTTAGTTGAACATATGGATTAAAATATTTCAGATACTAAAAATCGAACTTGTATACTTTAAGCGAGAGAAATGTTCAACATTAAATCTTCTTTGTAATGATGTATTATTTATAAGTTATATTTCATATTATCAGTTGGCCCGTGCGAATAATTCGCAGAAAATTTTCTTTTATGAAGAAATAGCAAAACAATATGGAAATAAGTAGTAACTATGTATTATATAAGTAAGGAATTAATGTTTTTTCCTTGGTCGATTACAATATTCCACTAAACATATTTATTATTATAATGTACATATTCTTGGCTTACAATAAATTTGCCATCTACCTCGGTATTCAGCAAATATGATATCAAGGAGAAGAAATAATAGCATAAAGAAAAAAGAATAGTAATAACAAAACAAGAAGAGAAAAAAAAAAACAGTAGTAACGTAACACATAATAACATTATAACAAACAAACAAAAAAACCAAAGATAATGCAGCAAGTAGCTCAATGCAATGTCTCTTCTGGGCGGATTATATGGATTTGTGGCAGTAGATAGAGCTTGAGTAAGTGGATTGGAATTTAGAGTCAGTCTGTCATGAAAATTATTAAAGCGGTCAGTGGCAGTTGCCGTGATGAAAGGAGTGTTAAGGTCAGTTTGTAACGTGAGGTTTGAAACGTAAAAGGGTGTGTCTACAATTTTCCGAAGGACTTTTGACTGGAGTGACTGGATGATTTTTATACTTGATTTTTAAGCTGTTCCCCATAGTTCGATTCCATATGTCCAAAGTGGTTTAATGAGGACTTTGTAAATAGTTAGTTTATTAGTCACAGATAATTTAGAACGTCTTTCAAGTAGCCTAGAAAGAAGTCCGTATCGTTGATTAAGTTCTTTTCATTTTTGTTTTATGTGGTATGTCCATGACAGTCGTTTGTCCAAATGGAGACCCAAATATCATACAGTTTTTGAAGATCGTAGAGCGTATATTATTGAAGAACACTGGAGGACAAGAGTCATGTTAAAGTGTAAATGAAACAAATTGGCTCTTAGACTCGTTCATTTTTATTCTGCACCTTTTAGCCCAACAAGCTATGTCGTCTAGGTGTTCTTGAAGTACCCGAGAAGCCTTAGCTGCATCCTTGTTAGACGTTAATATTGCCGAGTCATCAGCAAATTTAGCTAACAGTGTTTCGGAATGTTGTGGGATGTCTGAGCAGTAAATATTGAAAAGTGTTGGACCCAAGACACTGCCTTGAGGTACTAAACATAATAGACAAAAATGTTTGTACAAATTGTTTGGCTAAAACCTATTTTTAAGATAAGAAATGTAATAAAGACAAAATAAAGCCTCGGACATGGGATTATCTAAATTATTAAAAAAATAAAATTTAAGAACAAACAAATGCCTTTAAGAAACAATAAAGTTAATATATCAGCCAGGAAAAAAAGTGTAGTAATAAAATAGTTATAAAGAGATATAAATTATTAAGTATACCAAAACTAATGGACTGTATCTTTGTTAATAATTTTCCATTATTAATATACCCTCTGTCAATACAAATTGCTTCAATTATACATTTATAAATAATACATTAATTTTTTTTTGTACGTGATTTAGTAATCTTTCTAATTATCATTGAGTTATTCTCAAATAAAGTTTCTTTTCCTTCATAACTTTTTTTCTGGAAATTTCGGAGGGATAGGACTATTTTTCGCGTGTGAAAGAGAAGAATATCTTCAAAATGAGTGGTTAATCATTGGATTTGATGAATAATTGACGAAGTTACGGTGTACCGATAAAAAAACACCTTTTAGGAATAATATATAGGATTAATCTCACCTTGATGTTTTCACTTATATCGTATGATTAAAGCACACTTCTTAATTTATTTTTATTCTATTTTCCATTAGAGAGAGGCGTTTAGTGTTGATTATTTGAGATTTAACAATTTTTGAAACAGAAATTTATTTTGCTATCGTATGCTAGAAAGCTTTTAGACAGTGGACCATTCAAACTAGATCCACGTCTGGGTTAATTAATCGTTTTGTTTGCTTTTATCGTTGAGCAAATGCAACATTCATTAACATTATGACGTCAGATGAGTGCATTGGAAATGAAATGTGTTTGCAAACCAGTCCAAACTTGTATGAAGAATTTTTTTAATTTTTCATTATTAATGAAATTTACAACTGTATTAAATGATAAATACAAGTAAATATGAAACAAGTAACATAACAGGTACAATATGAAGGAAAACTACTCATTGGCAGCACTCCTTTTTTATATTTCTATATTAGAAGGTCCCGAGGCCATCTTCTTTTCAGACACCTCGGAGGGTTATTAGGAATAGAAGAGGAAGCAAGGTTGGATACAAGAGGATTCGGATGGTTCAGAAGTTTATTTTAGAAGGATAGGTATCTGGATTGAGGTAAATCGGAGACATATGGTGCATTAAGGTCGTTATGGATGATTTTATTTGTGACAAAGTAGAGAGCATTGAGGATTTTGCGAAGGATTTTGGTTTGTAGGGATTGGATACGAGGGAAATTTGATGGTTTAGTGGAACCGCAAAGTTTGATCTCGTAAGTTCAAATACGCCTTATTATAGTAATATATATATCTTTTGTAAATAGTTGGAAGTTTAGAGCGTTTGTATAGTAAGTGCTGCTGTAATCAACAACGGTTTCTAGTCGTTTCAATCTGGTATAAGGTTCCAAGTGAGTCGTTTGTCCAGGTGGAGTACTAGGTATCGGATTTGTTCAACAGGGATAAGTGGGCTATTGTTGAAGGATACTGTAGGACAGGAAGTCATAGGTTTACGACGTTAAGAGTAAAGGTAATTTGATGGGATTTTTTTAAATTTATTTTAATCCTCCAGTATGAAGAGATTTAATTGAAAAAATAATAGATTGTTAACTTAAACTGATTTATTGATAAAATTATTTAATAAATATGTAATATAAACAACTAGTTCGGCAATAGAGCATTTTTCTCGAATTTGTACTCAAAATATCTTATAATTCAAGTAAAAACCAAATGGGTATTTACGAGTTTTTAATACTTCATTAAATAGACAAAGTTTGGCTATCTCCAGATTGAAAACATCCTAATTCCGAGATTTTTCGTAAATATTAGAGCTATAGATTACGATGAGATGAAGCTAGTTATGAAGTTTCAGGTGGATGTTAATAATTTGATAAAAAGAGGTCTGTACCACGGACTATATTTTTGAATGTCAAAAAATTAAAAAGAAAAGATAAAATTATTCCTTATTAATCTACTATTGGACAGATCTATTAAAACGTTTCAGTTGTTTTATTTTTTCGACAATAGAGCAGTTTTTTATTTTTATTTTGTCGATCGAAAAATTAAATTTTACTTAATTTTTTAATTAATCATGACCAATTTCGAATTAGGATTTTCACTGGGAATACTTACTTCACTTAGTTAGACTTAATACTTAGGTCTTTCCTTATGAGTCCCAATAACCAAGTTTTGTAAAAAGTTCTGAGTTTATGTGAACAGTCGAACTCAAACACGAAAAGTCTTACGTAACTGAAATTACATATTTAAGGTAGGTAGGCCTGAGTTGCTACAACTTTTTCATCAAAGTTTTCAGAAAGGAAATGTTACTTTATAATCAATTTTATATATTTTTTTAAAAAAACTCTTGAAAACGACTCAAACGGTTTTGATTAAGCTTGTCGAGGTACAATGGTATTAAGGTATTAATCTCTTTGAAATTGTTTAAAATTTGCTAAAAGTCTTGTAAAAATTATTCTTAATTGGGCAAATGTTTTTTTTTTTTAAATTAAAAACATATTACAGTTAACTTTATTGAAGAAAACATTTGCTATGTTTATGAATGACATTGAATAGGTTTTAGGTAAAAAAAAATAAATATAACGCTTTTATAACAGTTATTTATTTGAAACTATTATGAAGAAGATAATTTCTAGTTGCCATTAATGTTTATTGTAACTTCCAATTTACATTAACAATAAGACTTATAACTAATATACAAAACTATAATTTGTCATGACAAAAACTCGAAACAATTGGTAACTTATGTTACAGGGTAACATTTATAATTTAAACTCTAATTTAAAGAGAGACATCTTTTGAAAATGTCAAAAAAAAAAAAAAAAGCTTCGTGAATGAATTTTTATTAATGAAATAAGATGCCATTCTTAAAAGTAGGAAACATTGACCTTGTAGGACTCAAATTTATTTTTATTTTTTTATTTATTTAAGTCCTTACAATAAAGTGAGTTTGAGATTAGTGTATTGGCCGTTAGTACAATTGTGAAATTGAGTTTTGTGTACTACGATTTTAACTACTGGTAACACTTCGGTTAAACATAGAGCAATTATTTCCACCGAGATTTGAAATAATCTACCAAATATATTGGAAACATTGAACATCGAACACATGTTACACAATTTGGCATGCAACATCAATGAGTGGGGTGTTTTCATCACGAGGAATCGTACTGATGATTTCTATACAACTAACAAATCTTTCATTTTTTTTTGTTTTAAAATCATGCGCAATTAAAAAATACCGTGCAATATTAAATGGATATGTCTTCAGTATCTTTGAAGATTCTTGAATGGCAAAAATAAAAGGTCAATGTACACGTGATTTTTCGATAAAGACCTACAAATATTTTTAAAAAATTACACTTATGGGAACCACCCGAAAGATCTCTAGAATCGATCGTTGCACGCCTGAGGAAGTGCTGGTGGCGAAAAAGACTGAATGATCCATTAGTGAATGCAGCTGTGCGACCCTGATACCTAGATGAACAACGCAGGGGTACGAAACACGTTTACAGGAGTGACTTGATCAGGTAGAAGAAGACGATGTTGATGGATATAGTCTGCGATCTTGCCGAATTGTTTTCGGGTTCCACCGCCTGTTTCACTTTAGCTCTGTTCTTCGTCCTGCGGTTGGAGTATATCGCGTTGGATTGATTCGTTGGAACTGTTACGTTGCAGTACATCTCATCGCAACATGAAACGCACACCTGAAACAAAACAAATAAATTGTGTTAAGTTAATAAGTAAACAGAAATCAATACTATATATTTATATCGCTCGATATTTCTATTCCAAAAATTTTCATACATATTCATCAAAAATAAAAATTTACAAAACCATTATCCTACCTACGGTTCTGCAAAACGTGGCCGCTTACATTAAGGGATGAGCAACGTCTTAAAGCTTTTGAAAATAAAGTATTGCACAGAATATTCGGACGGAAAAAGGACTAGTCAACCAGAGAATTTAGACGGCCACACAATGCTGAATTGCGTGAACTGTATCCGGTTAATGTAATTGAGGTGATTAAGTTGAGGCGAATAAAATGGGCATGTAAAATCGCTGGGTTTAGTAACGAAACCTTCGGGTTCGCTAAGCCTTATTATTATTATCACATTTAACCATTATCGTATTTTAATTCCTGCATCAACGATTTTTTCAACGTAAGACATCCGTCTATAACTTCAGAGGGGACGTTAAAAGTATTGAGGGGACGAGAATATCGTAAGCCCCCCCCCAAAAAAAAAAAAAAATTAAAGGAAACAAACTAAAATTAATTATAAAAAGCTATATGAATGAATAAAATATGTAAACTAAAAATTAAGAAAAGTCGTTAGACTAGATGTAGGTATGTAACTATTTTATTATGACCTAACTGTTATTGTTTCTTAAATTGTGATTAACAGTGAATCAAAAAAGTATTGGGACACTCCAATTTTTCTGAAAATCTAAATAGGATTAAGATATTATCCAGAAATAATACTTATATAACAAAGTGACCTTTGAGAATTATATTTTAGAAGTAATGAATATTAGAAATTCGAAAGCAATGTTTAAAGTAAACATAAAGAGTAAATTTTGAGAGTCAAAAAAATATTGGCACAGTTTTAAATCTTTACTATTAGCTACAGCCAAAACAAATTAATGCTTTTCCTTTCAATAAATTAGAAACGAGGATTAATGATAGCACAATGAAAATAATAATTAAAAAAATGTAAAATCAGTGAATATTGTTTCAGTTTAAAAAACACATCATCAATCTAGAGTGGACTTAACTACCGACTAATATCGAATAAATTAGAAATCGGTCTTAGAAATTTTCAAAATATTGTACATAAGTTTGAAACATATCCCATTCAGAGCGGCCATCGAAATTTAATGGGAAGGCTGAAAGTAATATTCACCGAATTGTTGAGCAAAATGACACTTTATCAGCAGCCGAAATAGCAGAAGAGGTCGAATTTACTTCAATTACCACCTTCTATTAGAAATGTAATTCATAAGTATTATTATTATGACAGATTCCAAAGAAAAAAATATTTTCTTACAATGTCACAATACAGCCAAATTTTCCAAATCAGCCAAATTTTCCAAATTTCACCAGAACCTTTCTCATCACCCAAATCCCGTTGTACAATCCCTATCAAGCACCACCCATCCCTACAATCCCCTTCGTAGGTTAAAGCGGCAGTGGCCACGAGACCTTTTGTAAATATGGATATTTTGGAGTTCTAGCAATGGCCAGATTCTCCACTCAAGTCATGAGTGTCTGTGGCTGTAGCGCTCTTACTCATCCTCCGCTGGTTTACAATACCAGTGAAGTGGCTGAGGGAGAAGCGTAGGGATCTCCTAAGCCTCCCTTTTCCCTCTACATATGGAGGGGACAGGATTGGTTCGGAGATCACCTGGCAAATTTTAAATAATGTATATAGGTATGTTTTATATAAGGTGTTTGTTTTACTTTTATTTCTATTTTTATTTACTTATGTGTATATATATATATATATATTTTTTTTTTCTTTACTCATTTGTTCTTTCTTCTTATTCTTTTGTTATTAATTTATTTATTTATATTTTTGTATATACGGTATGAATGCAATCTCTGAACTCTATTATAAGTGTCCTTAAACTGTGACAAATTGTAATATTTCTGAATAAAGTGTTTTTAATAATTAAAACAATGTCACAATCAAGGGCATTTATAATAGTGTTCAGAAAAGACGTCCACACTCTAATATTTAATAAATATAAGTATAAATATATTTTATAGTTAATGTTTTTAATGGATATTTTTACATAACTAGTCACACAGTGAAAGCGGCGTACGTTTTTATTTTGAGGTTGTACAAACCAAGAAATCAATTTCTTTTTTTTTAACATTTTTTTATTTTAACATTGAAAAAGGGATCACTGAACTGTTTCATTTTTTTGTTCATAGAATAATAATCTGAGTATAACTAATTTTTTTTTCTGATTTTTTAGTGAGTTTTATTATTTTGAAAACTCAGATCCAAAATATTCTCTTGTTGTTAGGATGCCCAATAGAGGTTTTCTATATTTTATTATTATTAATTATATAAATGGATGCTTGTGCCTACTTTATATACAGCTAAAGCAGAGGAAGTTGAAGTTGAAGTAGACGGCTCAAGGGAACTTTAAACAAGCTTTAATAACATTAGACTATGGTCAAGGGCTTAGCAGGAAGGCTTAAGCCGGAAGTTAGTTGACACCTCGTGATTAATGAGACGGCTTGTTAAGCGGAAGGCTCCTCCGCTTCCTATATACTCGATCGCGAACCTGTGCCAATGCCTTCGCTATTTCTTCAGCTGTATAAAGCCGCGAGGATGATTAGATGAAATTTTTTGCTCCAGTCGGCTTTGCCAGCAACAACAGCAGCGGCATGTTCGAACTCAACTCTTTTGGCAACCTGCCTTTAGGCTTTCCAACCACTTTTTGTTAAAACGACCAATCCCCTCACCTTATAAATATCGATCATTATTTCAAGTACTCGACGTTTCCCGAATTTTATATAAAACGAAAAGTCTACATTTGGGATAATGGTCGTAATTTTATTCGAAACATAAAGTAAATTAGTCGCATCTTTTTTTTTTTCTCTCATATTCCCTTTTTTATTTATTTTTCACTTGGATCCTTTTCATTGTTTTCATAGTAGTCCTTTTACTGCTTAAAAGCATTGTAAGGTGTATTTTTGGATTTTTTTGTTTTTTCGCTTATGATTATTTTTTTCCTACATCTGTAATATATAAGGTGATGGGGCTCACCTCAGGCTTGAGTTGACCTTATCCTCTAGAGCTTACAACTAAATTAATAAAACATCGATATCATGTGATTTGTTGCCAACGTTTTGGAATTTGGGCTGGTAATAATTTATTGAAAAGAGGGTTTGCCAGTAGTTGGGATTTTTTGAAAAATAATTTTTTTCGTTTTGCCAGAAATTCGTTTATAGTTGATAAATTTATTGTTGCTTGAACATCCAATGTCTTCTTTCTCTGAAGCGTGGTTCCTCTTACAATTTTTCTAATTATTATATTTTGTAAATATTGTAATCTTTTCAGAGTTGTTTTGCTGATGTGTTCGAACAGCTGTGCACCATACAACAGAGCCGGCCGTATTATACTTGTATAAACTAAAAGCTTTAGTTTGGAGTTTGTACGTCTTAGATCTTACTGTTTTAATTTTTTTGTCAGAATGTCTAGTAGTAGTCGTATCTGTACATTTTTTTTTTCCTACCCCCCAGGAATTTCTTGATTACAAAATACAATATGTATATATATATATAAATATATATATAATTAAATTTTCAATTTCCTTTTATTGCCCAAGGGCATTTTAAGGTAAGAGGGCTCTGCACGCTGTATGCATTCTTTGCATATGTGGCCAGAAGCCTTTTATTATACCACTGGGCGTGGAGGGACCGCCCTATATCTGTACATAGTGGGTAATAATAATAATAATAATATAATACCTAAAAGTTACGAGTATGGGGAAATTGACAGGTATTTGTATCACTATCATCCAACTATAGACTTTTTTTTTGTCTATAAAAAATGTATTTGCGCCTGTCAACTTATTGTTGACAATCAGCAAATGTGATGGCGATACATGAAATAATGACATGATAGGCATGGGGAAGGAAAGTACTCAGCAGTACTTCTTCCCTAACTTGTTCCAATTACTTAGGTTGTCTAAGGAAGGAGATCTCTCATCCAACGCCTTTTTAGTCTCCTCCTCATGTTCTGAGGTATTGCAGCTGTGGCCATGTCTCTTATTAGTCTGTTATTATGTTCATTTAAATTTTATTATGTTCATTTAAAAATGCGAAAATGCGGGAAAAGTTTTTATAAACCACTTACGAATATTACTAGAATCGGGACCTTCTTTTGACACCTCGTTTCTAAAATTCTTTCGCTACTAACTGTTGAAATATTTAACACCAAACATACCTTTATTACCGATTTTCAGCTATCGAGAAATTACTAATTTCGAGCGGAGTGAGTGTTCTACATTAAACTGTTGGTACTCAATGGACGCGGAATTAGATATTCTACAACTTTATTCTATGAGTTTTTTTTTTTAAGAAAGCTCATTTCCAAGCTACAGAGCCATTAATAGTAATTTGTCTCAGTTTTTGACAATTTTTATAGAAATCAGCGTTCGATCTTGGTTATCGATCAGACCACTTAACCAAATTATTAAGTTTAAGTAGAATAAGCACACCAGTGATGAACATAACAAAGGATATTTTTGGCTTATACCGCCGTAATTATTATAGTTATAAACTTCTCCGCTGGACATTTAGAATCCGTAGGGTCTTCTTTTTCTATTTAAAACTTTAAAGTTGAAAAATATTCAGTTATGCAGGTGTAATATCCATTTAAAAAAATAAACATATTTTTACACTAGTAACGGACTCCCCGAAATTCAATTGTTCTGGTAATTGACAAAGGTTCGGTACCAGTAATAGACATATCTCAGAAAAATTCTAAAATCTTTATTTAACTATAATGATAACGATAAAGATAAGATAACTTAATGAATATTTGATAGTTGACCGTTGGATTATAAAGGAAGGAAATGGTACGGGGTGGCGGTCATAAATAGACTAAATAGTGGTAAAACTTTATTAAAAATTTTTATTAAAAGCCAACGTTTCGACCCGATTTTGCAGGTCTTCTTCAGGGAGGTGTGTTCAGCTAGGAATTCGACTTAGAACTGAATGCGTTGAGTTCTACGACAAACTCCTAGCTGAACACACCTCCCTGAAGAAGACTTGCAAAGTCGGAACGAAATGTTGGCTTTTAATGAAATAGTTTTGCCACTATTTAGCCTATTTATGACCGCCTCCCCGGACCACCTCCTTCAAAGATAACATACTCTTAGCACAAATTTTAGTAGAAAGGTATGAAACACACTGATCTCAAGAGCACTATAGAAATAACGATGATAGTTATTTTAAAATTTTATTTTGGGAACTTTAACTTTAATACAGTTGTCAATAGAGGGCATTGTTCTTCAATATAGAAAAAAAACTGGAACATTTAAATCAACAAGGAATCTTATTATTTACACTTATTTCCCCCCCCCCCTGTCCATAACTGATGCGTTTATCCTACTCTATCAGCGCTCAATCTAATGTTCTTTAATTTCTTAATACTTTTTGCTTCGATGCACCGTTTAGGAGTTATTAAAAACGAACTAATCGTTTATATACAAATTTACAGGAAGAACTATTTACAATATTTATCATCATTTATTCTTTAAATAGAGTGACAAATGATATATTATGTTATATGTTTTTAAAAAATTTCTTTAATATAATTACCGTCTGAGTGTCGACCATCACACAGCCGACTCCCATTGGCCAACACTCGGTGGTGTCCGCGCACTTCTTATTTACAATAACACTAGCCCCTGTAGAGTCCATTATATGGAGGGTATGGCAGAAATCTTCACCTGCAACATATAATATAACACTAATTTTATAAATAAATTCAAATAAAATATAAACAATAAAATTAATGATCTTTAAAAAAAAATCTGATACGCGTATCACACAACTTTCACTTACTGCTGTATTTTGAATAGAATTTTTTTTTTGCAATTTTTAAAGTGCATTTTTAAGTTTTTCACTAGCTTAAAGCTTACAGCTAAGAAATCATTGAGACTATTAAAATAACAAAAACCCTATTTATTAATATGGACGGTAGACTTTAAAAAACTCGTCAGTTATTGTAAACCATATAACTCCAATCTCTGATATCTATATGCCTAGAGAGATTTGAAAGTACATCGGTATATTTAACCTATAAATGATTATGGATTGTACGACTGTTAGTTATTAAACCCTTATTTTCCATTATAAAGTTGACTAACTTGGAGTTACAATATTTTCATGCCTGTCATAGATTAATCAAAAGGTGTCACTCTAATTGTCGGTGAATAATATTTATAAATAATGATGAAATTATTTCATTCTATATATTGGGTTAGCAAATAACTCCTTTCGGTTTTTGGTGGTGAAATAAAACTCAATGTATTATAGACATAACATTTATTTTAATCTACAATATATTGACCATTATTTAATATGACTTTTTCCCATCTTTTCACTAACTGCATAATGCCATGTTCATAGAATGTCTAGAGTTTATTGATAAAAAACTGATCCACGTGGTTTTTGATGTTCATGGAGTTCAGAGACCGGAATAAGTAGTAGTCACTTGAGGCTAGGTCTGATGAATAGGGAGGGTGGGGCAAAAGGTCGCATCCAAGGCTCAATAATTTATTGCGAGTGACCAATGAGGTGTGGGGCCTAACTTTGTCTTGGCGAAACACAACACCCTTCCGATCATCCATAACTCTTCAGGATGTTCTCCAAATTTAATGTTACTATATCTGTTGGAAATATAAATTTTTGCTCTTCAAAACCGTATGAATGGTTTTTTGATTTAATACCTTCATAAGGAATACATAAACAAAAACTCTTTGCAGGTTTTTATTTTTTATTTCCATTTTTTGTTTGTTTACGAAGGTCCTGTTGATGTCATTTTGTGTAATTTATGTGAACCTAAATTCCTGCTAATTTTTTTATAGATAGCTAAAGTTGTATTGAAGTTATAAAAGTTTTTTTGTAATAAAAAAAAATCATGTGAGGTACCCAAACATCAAGCCTGAAAACATAGCCGAGCTTATGCAAATATTTTCTACGCTTCGGTTAAGGCATCATCCCTTTAAACACTGCAAATTTTTCTATGAGCTTCTGCAGCACACTTACCTTTTTTAGAATGATACAACAAAATATGCCGATAATGAATGATATTTTCTTCCATATTCACTCTGCAATAGCAAAAACAATACTAAGCTAGTTTCAGCAAGAGTTAACAGATAGAGTTGTTGACATATTACAAACAGGATAAACAATCAACCTTAGAGATTAATTCATCAGATAAGTAGTGTATCATAGCGACATAAAAATAAACAGAAAAATCGAAAGGACTTATTTACCAACCTAATACTTTTGATTCAACTCTATTTGCTAAAAATCTAAGTATTTTTATATTGTAGTAATTTGTCAAAACTATATGGAGTGCAAAAGAAAATCAAATAAAAACACACGATTTCATATTTTTATAGCTGATTAAAAAAAAAATTATATACTAACTTCTGCAAATTGATTTTTCTGATTTTATTAGAAATGTACAAAACATTCCTAATTATTTGATATTTTGGAGCTGAAAATACCTTTGCCCCTTCAATGACCGCATATACATTTTTGCAAGATCGAACGGAGTGCCGGGTCTGTTACTAAAGGAAGGGGCAAAATAGAGAAATCTTTCACTAATAGTGAAATTATCCTTAAGTCAAACTTTTTTTATTTCTCTTGTTACCCACAGCATGATAGCAGATGGAAAACATCAGAAACAAAAATGCTACTAAAACAAACATTTTAAAAATATGTTTTCTATAGTTTGTGAAATGTCTAAATGTTAAATAAACTAATAATATCAGCTAAATAAATTATTAAGGACTAAAGTTTTCGTACTTGTAATTTATGAATCAATTTCGATCCAATGGGCGGACTCCGAACAAAAGAACCGGAAGGGAAGGAAAGAGTTCCCAACAATAGGCATTATAACACGTCAGGGGTTCCAATGTGTATTAGTTTAGAAATTTCCGAACGGGCGGAGCGTGGTCAGAACTAAACATATATATTGGGATAAATGCCTTCCTCTGAGTAGATAATGTTTACCGCTAAAAGTTTCATTATATACGTTGCTCCTACCGTTCATTAAAACTTACTGCATCCCAACCTCTCACCTCGTCCATTATGATTAAAAACTTTCCTATCGCAAAATATATCAGCTCGGTCAATTTTTAATTCATAAATTACAAACTGTGTGTTGGACCTTTCCAATTAAAAGTTTATCCCCATCGCCCTAAATTTGACTCGTGTCATTTATATCCATTTGGACACGAGAGGTGAAATAACAGGATGAGATAGGAGAGGATTTATGTGTAATGAAAATGCAAATTATGAAGAGGAAATGAAGTTTCCGAATTTTCCAAAAGAAGAATATTAATAACAATAAAATTATTTGGACAATGGGCATAGACCTAGACTTGGGGAAAGCGAGGGGACCGATCGCCTCCCCCAATAAAAATAGTTTAATAAAATCAAAATTTTTGTCTTTTTTGGCTTTTGCCACTGTAATTATTATAGTTATAAACTTCTCCGTTGGACATTTAGAATTTCTAGGATCTCCTTTTTCTATATAACTCTTTAAAATTGAAATATATTCAGTTATGCAGGTGTAATCTCCATTTAAAAAAAACAACACCTTTTTGCACTAGACTCCCTGAAATTCAATTGTTCTAGTAATGGACAAGGGGTCGGTACCAGTAATAGATATACCTCAGAAAAATTATAAAATCTTTATTTAACTATCAAGATAAGACAATGTTCAATTTCCTCTTAGCACAACTGTTAGTAGAACGATATGAAACTATGAAACACAGATCTTAAGAGGACTATAGAAATAACAATGAGAGCGATTTTTTTAAATTTTTTTTTTTAAAACTTTGTTCATACAGTTGTCAATAGAGAGCATTGTTCTCCAATCTAGAAAAAAAAAAGAACTGGAACCTTTAAATCAATAAGGAAGCTTATTATTTACATTTAAAGTCCAACCAGTAGATTCCCTGTCTATAACTGGTCCTTTCACTCTAATAACAATTAACCTACATGAAAAAATAAAATAAAAACTAAAGACGGCAAAGCTAAAGTCTGAAGGGGCTATGTTATTATTTACCACGCCATATTTCCCGATTATTGAAATTTTAGTTTATATTCAAAGATCATTTTATTTAACAGCATAAACTAGCATTTTATGATTCATACATGTCCACACATCAATTGTTCCGTGAACATTTTATCACATGGAATCATCGGAGAATTATGAGTTCATCTATCTCCCTTAAAACTTTTAATAAAAATATGCAATAGATCAAATTTCTTTGTTGACGTATTTTCAAAAATATTCATAACCCGCATACGATAAAAAAATATAGACATATACAATAAGCGTACCAGCGATGGACATAGATAAGGAAAGTTTTGTCTTTTTTGCTTATGCCACAGTAATTATCATAGTTATCAATTTCTCCGTTGGACATTTAGAATATCTAGGATCTCCTTTTTCTATTTAACACTTTTAAATTAGAAAAATATTCAATTATGCAGATATGATCTCAGTTAGGAACTTTAACTTTAATGCAGTTGTCCATAGAGGTCATTATTCTTCAATCTAAAAAAAAACTGGAACCTTTAAATCAAGATGAACGCTTACTATTTATATTTATAGTCCAACTTGTCCATCACTAGACCCTCTGTCTATTACTGGTGATTTTATCCTACAACCTTAGTTGTAGAATTTCTTATATTTTATATTTTTTAACTACATTCAATAATATTCCTATAAATAGTTAAATTATTCACAATTTAAAAAATAAATATAACAAAAGAAGTTTCAATAGTATTGCCTTACCTTCAGGACATGGCCTGTCTATCGCGAATCTGTTGCACATTAAGTTGTCAGACACATTGACACAGGTATAGCAGGTAACCCCTTCTGAAATTTAAAAATTGACTTATTAACTAAATATAGAATAAGTATAATTATAAATATTGTGTTTTACAAATATTGTAATATTGTATTACAAAAATCTTTTTTAAAACTAACGGAACAATATAAAAATTTCGATTTTATATATACGGATGCATCCAAAGAAGAAGATAACGTAGGATGTGCTTTAGCGAGTAAAGAGAACCACTTATTGTTTCAATTACCTGGTGAATGTTCCGTACTCACAGGAGAGGCCACTGCCATCATGAACGGCTTATATATTATAAGCAAATCTTAAAAGAACTACTGGGTAGTTGTGACGGACTCATACAGTGTTTTAACTGCCACTGAAAACCCATATCCTAGAAACTCCGTAATTAGAGAAATTCTCAACACCTGGTGGGAGGTAAAAAGTAAAGGAACAACAGTTGTCTTGGTATGGGTACCAGCTCATTGCGGAATTTTAGGGAATGAAAAAGCTGACAATGCAGCCCATTTAGCAAGAAGTGGAGGAGAAGAAGAGGAAGTGACTAGAGTGAAATATATCACTTTAGAAGACTGGGTACACGAAATAAAAAAAAAAAACAGCTGGCAGAGTGAGAAAAAGAGTGGAGGATCAAAGAGTGTAAGCTGAATGAAGTGAAACCCAATTGCGATAAATGGCTCACTAGCAACAGAAGGTCCAGGCGTGAAGAAATTATACTGTGCCGCCTTAGGATTGGGCACTGCCAGTTCACCCATAGCTATCTTTTAAGAGGCCTAGAAGCTCCTACTTGCGAAAAATACAATAATACAACTTAAACTGTGAAACACCTTCTGGTAGAATGTTCCCAATTCGAAAGGCACAGAGAAAAGATAGAACTAGGAAAGACACTAAACGAAATACTACAAGACAATGAAGAGAGAGTCTCTATCCTGTTTAAATTTCTAAAGATTATCAACTACTATAACAGAGTTTAAATTATACAGAAAACGCCAATGACCCTTTAGGGTAGAGGCGAGAAAAAGAGAGAAAAAAAATTATTGTGTAATAAAAGATTTGTAAATTATATTATAAAAAATCTGGTGTGTGTCCATCCACACGACTTTCCTACCAGACAAATTTATACAACTTATATCCATTAAGAGAACAAAACCATTTGAATTTACCTGTAAACCGATCAGAGTATAAGATTCCTCACAAGAGGAAGTTACGGACGTGGGCTCACTGATTTCAATACAATTTTTTTGGTGATACTAGGTCGAAAAATATTAGACCTATGTCCGAGGATTCTTGCCGAAGTCCCCTAGGAGCCGCGAAAAACATTTTTATAAATTTTTTTTTTCTGACTTTGCTTTGCATGGATTTTTAAGTTATTATATATCAATCGATTTGTTTTTTGTGTAAAATAAGAAAAACATATTGCTAATTGTATTAAGTATATATATATATATATATATATATATATATATATATATATATATATATATATATATACACTTACATGCATATTGATATTTAATTTATGTGTAAGAGAATCACAGGATCGAATCCCGGTCCTACTTCTTTTACGACTTATAACAGGAGCTTCCTGGTACATCAACAACAAAACTTTACATAACGACTTACGACAACCAACTATAGACCAACACATACGTACACTCTACTCTCGTTTTCATCTCACGGATACACAAACAGACTTATAAACATGGCTACAACTAACACGTCCATCAGGAGGAGATTAAAAAGGAGCTGGATGAGAGATCTCCTCACCTAAATCAAATAAATAAATAATGATCAGGAAGAGGTGCTGCTGGGTACTATCCTTCCTCATGTCTATAATGCCAATCCTCATCATCACAACACATCTGCTGATTGTCAATACCATGGCAGGTGCGGATAGATAGTAAAAGAGAAAAAATAAATTGTATTTATAAATAAGGCATGATTTTTAAATTTTTTTAATTTTATTTATAATTTAATTGAAAATTAAAACGGTAAATGTGACATTGGTAACATGACATGTAAAATATGAAGAGAAACTACCCATTGGTAGAACTCAAATTAAAGTTCTATATTAGAAGATCCCGAGGCCATCTTCTTTTCAGACGCCTCGGGAGGTTATCAGGGATAGAGGAGGAAGCAATGTTTGAAACGAGAGGGTTCGGATGGTTCTGCAGTTTGTTATGGAAGGATAGGTATCTTGATTGGGCCAAATCGGAAACATATGGAACATTAAGGTCTTTATGGATGATTTTGTTTGTGACAAAGTAGCGTTGAGGATTTTACGAAGGATTTTGGATTGTAAGGATTGGATACGAGAGGAATTCGATGGCTTAGTGGAGCCCCAGAGCTCAATTCCATAGGTCCAAATAGGTCTTATTATTTTCATATATATGAGTCGTTTGTAATTGATTGAAAGCTTAGAGCGTTTGTCTAGTAAGTGTTGGAGTAGTCGGAAACGTCGAGCGGTTTCTTGTCGTTTCAGTCTTGTATGAGGATTCCATGTGAGTCGTTTATCGAGGTGGAGTCCTAGGTAACGAATTTGTTCAACTGGGATAAGTGAGGAATTGTTAAAGAATACTGTAGGACAGGAGGAATTTAAATTAAAAATCAAATATAATAATTATTACATGATTTCGTGAAAGAAATAATTATCGATTTTAAACCCTCCTTTGAAATGACGATATATTTGTTACGTATCTCTACATTTTCATTTCGTAATGAATATTATCCGATTATGGCGATATAGATATTATAGTAATATCGTTATAAAAGACAGATATCGATAAGGAATATTATAACTTGTTCGATATAGCAACAACCCTATTCATATTAGATAAAACAGTAACGATTATGAAGAAAGATGGAACGAGTGTAATATTCTTGGAGTGAACTTTATATAAGATATGATGTCCCAGGAGGAGAATTTGAAATAACTGTGAGGGGGGGGGGCGAGAGGCACTTAGAGCAGTGTCATTTTTTTCCCGTCTCCGTCGTTGGAAATGATGTGGTCTCGAGTGGCCACTTTCTTTCTTTATTAGGAGAAACAAAATGGATGTCCATGTTTCACTTGGTTACTTTGTAACAAAGGAGATAATTGATTATAATGCAAGTTTAATTATAATCAAGGATTTAATATTTACTATAATACTTTATTTCCAAAAACCTTGTTCGTACATTATTGTAATTATTGTAGCATGTTAAAATGAAACGTATGACACTTAACAAACGACTCAAACTACTTTACTCTCTTTTTTCTAAATCTTCAAAACTAAAACTAATACAGAAACTGAATACATATACTTACTTAAGCCTATATAGGCATACTCATCACAAATATACAGCATCGCTAAAAAGACCCACCTACAAAAACTTCAAACGTTCCAATCAAAATTATTGCGACTCATAACAAAAGCACCTTGGTACGTGACTAACAAAACTCTAGATACTGATCTCCACTTTTCAACAGTTGACCAACATATAACGACCCTTTATCAACGATTTTACACAAATTTAAACGGACATAACAGACTTATAAGAGACATGACCACAGCTGACATACCTCAGCTGACATGGAGGAGACTAAAAAGGCGTTGGATGAGGGATCTCCTTCCTTAAACAACTTAAGTAATTGGAACAAGTTAGGAAAGAGGTACTGCTGAGTACTTTCCTTCCCCATGCCTGTCATGTCATTATTTCATGTATCGCCATCGCATTTGCTGATTGTCAACAATAAGTTGACAGGCGCAAATACATTTTTTATAGAAAAAAAAATTAATAAATAATAATAATTCATCTGAACTGTTCGTTCTAACTGATCAGTGGTTACCTAAAAAGTAGAAATCATTTGTCGTTAGTTATTCGTGCTGTCCGTTGTGACTGCATATATATATATATATATATATATATATATATATATATATATATATATATATATATATATATATATATTAAAAATAATGACTGAACTGACGGATTGACAAAGGCGTGTACAAATGACCTCCTAGAGTCCTATTACAAGGAGAAGTATTTAAAGCCTTCAAAGTTCGAACGGGTTTACGGCATGGCGATGACATATCACTTAACCTTGGAGAAGGTAATAAGAACAACATCATAGGAAAATGGAGGGGTCCATGTCGGAATGAATCATAAAATCCTTGAATATGCAGATGATTTAGCTGGCCTTGGAAGTAATCAAGAATTCATTGAGAAACTCGCTACAACACTGATAAGAGAAGCAGAGCTGATCGGCCTAAAAGTAAATGAAGACAAAACAAAATATATGATAATAAGCCGAGAATTCCATCCCATTAACAGGATCTGCGTAGAAGGAAAATTATTTCCAGGAGTAGAAAAATACCTCGGCTCCACAATAACATCAATGAATGACCAACCGGCAGAAATAGACATGCGTATAACTAGCGCAAACAGAGCTTTCTTCTTCCTCTCAAAGATATTGACATCCCGAAATATTTCAAGAAATCTCAAAGTTAGAGTGTACAATGTTATGATAAAGTCAGTTCTAATATATGATTATGAGGCCTGGACACTGACCAGCAACCTAGAAAAAAATGTTAAAAGATTTGAGAGGAAAATTCTCCTCGATAACTGGAGCTATATGGAATCAGAGTACTAACACATGGGGAAGAAAGACAAATTAAGAACTGCTTATAGAAAATGGTCAATCAATATCCCATGATATGAAGGCAGGGAGGTGAAGATGGGCGGGGCATGCAGCTCGTTGCAATCCATCTGGAAGCCTCTACCTAACAATGAATGCCTCAATAGAAGGCAGAAGACCACGTGGATGGCCAAAAAGCAGCTGGATAGATAGAATAAACTAAGATGCTATAGAGCTACGTACAGATAAATGGAATGAAATAGCCCAAGACATGCAGAGATGGAGCAGGCTTGTTAGGGCTACAAAACATCTACATGACCCTTAATGCTAAAAGAAAAAAAAAAAAAATATATATATATATATATATATATATATATATATATATATATATATATATGTGTG